CACTGTATTATTTAAACAAGTAAGAAAATAGTAAATTTGTTGAATTAATTTTTATTATTATTATTATTATTATGAATACAAATATTAGAAAGTTATTCAAACATTTCTTTCTTGGTCAGTTCTATGTAGCTATATCTAGAGTAGGAAATTCAAGTGGACTTTGTATGAGGACAAAAAGAAATTTATCAATCTTGCTGAAAATTATGTTTATACTGTAATTTTATAGAGTTAAGAGAACTTTTATGACAACTTAATTTTCTCTATTCATAGAATGGGTATTCAGTGAGTAATCAAAATTTAGCTAATAATTGTTTGATAGTACTTATTGATTTATCTGCATAGACTTAATTCTGGCTATTTATGTAGATTTTTTCTTGTTTATATAGTCAGAAATTCTAAAAGGTTCAACTAATAGACATTATAAATTGAGTTTGAATAATCAAATGATCCCAATACACAAATATTTTACAAAAGACAGAAAAGGAAAAATGTTTCTCATGGACAAGTAACTTATTACAGACAGAAACCAAAAATAAGCTCTTGGGCAGAAAACAGATTCTCAACTAATTTATTGACCCTGATAATACTGGTTTCATTTCAAATCAACTGACTTTCATCTTATTTTTTTATCTAAAATCTTTGTTAACATGTCTGGGATTTTATTGACTCTGAATTTGTTGGAACTAAATTGTGTAGATGCATTGGGATAGTGAAAAAATGTTTTTCAAAAGCTAAGGAAAGTATTAAGAAACAGGAAAATTTCATTAGAAACAAAGAAAAAAGTATGAAAATATTATGTAATATCATTCCACGTATATAACAGTGAAAGCTGGAAAATCTCATCACAGATGAAGAAGTGATTTTAAACAATGGAAATGTGATTCTACAGAAGGATGCTGAGAATATGATAGACCGAATTGAATAACAAAGTTTTAGAGAAAATGAAAACAAAAAGGACACTGATATACGATATCACAAAGAGTTGAAATTTTTAGGATGTATAATGAGAATAGAGGGCTAGGAAAATTTGATACTCACAGGATATATTGAAGGCAAGAGAAACAAAGGAAAGCAGCACATAACCTACCTAACAAACTTGAATAAATGGTTGGCAGAACAGGGTGTAGCAGAGATAGAAAAAAGACAAAATTTACAAAGAATTATAAAGGAGAGAAAATTGCAGAGAACTATGATTGCCAAGGTCCTGAATGAATCATTACTAAGCATTATAGACATTTATGTTCTACTCAATAACAAAATATCCTCACGAGTTATATTTCAGCATTTGTCACCTAAAACCTGGTTATAAGCAAAGAAGGCATGCGCAATGTCACATATGGTTGCTTGACTCATTTGGTTGATTTTATGCTGATTTTAGGTTTTCTATCTTAGAGTAATTGTCTTGTCTCAGTCTACTCAAAAATGTGTTAACATGTACTGAATAAAAGACTTCCAGATAATAAAGCCTGATGATAGGAAATCTCAGTAAGATGATGGTATGACAAGAAACTCCCAAGTGGACAAGGTCAGCTTTCCTAGAAAATCAACATTTAAAATCCTGACATTTTCATAAGCTTAAACACTACTTACTTTCATTAGTAGAAAATAGACAAGTATCTTAACCATGAAGTAGACTTATATATTTCTGATATTTAGCTTAGTATGAAACAAAGTTATGAGTATGGGCACCTAATGGGGAACAAAATCATGGCAATCATTCTGATCAGTGACACTAGCTTGCTAACCAGTAGTCCATGACAAAGCACCTAAAAATAAACATTGGAAGATTGGGGTGGGATGCCAGTTATGAAAATCAGGCTTTAAAATTTTGGATGTTCTCAGTTTGTAACTTGACTACTAGTGAAAAATATGCAAATCTTCCATCCACCAAACAGGACTGAACTATCAATTGGATTTTATCTTATTTAGAATATTTCTTTTAAAATACAGTATTAAATATGACTTGGTATAAGTATGTATCAGTAGCATGTCCTGAAAAATAATATGGGATAAGCAAATAACATTATTGTGACAAAAAATAAAACTGGCAACTGCTCTTGAAAAGGAACTCCAACAGGTGATTATCTGGGGTAAGGAATGGCTTGTAAATTATAAAACCTTCAAAACAAACCTACTTTCATTTAACAACCAAGATGCAAAGGGTTACTGAGTGTGAAAGAAACTGAGAAGATGTTATTGAGGAGAGAGAAGACAATAAAAGAACAGGATTCAAGGATGATGATGATGATTAATGTTACATTTAAATTTTTGAAGATTGTAGTTGACAGGAAAGCAAGAAACTGGAAGTGAGTTCTGGAGCAAGAAACGGTTGGTTAACTTTAATGCCTCAAAAATAAAACTGTTCTTTATTACCCGTCACAGAGAACCTTCCCTGCCTCCCATTAGAATGTCTGATGCTCAACTCCATGAGAGCACCTCTCTGCAACTTCTTGGTCTCACACTGTCCACTGACCTGAGATGGAACAAATACATTGAATCAATAGCTTCATCTACTGCAAGGAAAGTTGGTTCTCTGTGTCACAACAGAAAGTTTTTCTTGCCTGAGTCCATCCTTCAAATCTATAAATCAACCATTCTCCCTTACATGGAATACTGCCGTCATATATGGTCTGGAGCCCCTGCTGTTCATCTTAAGATCCTTGACAAAATCCAGAGATGGATATGCAATGAGGTTGGCCCTGATCTGGCATTTTGTTTACAGTCGCTCTCTCACAGATGTGCTGTCACCTTCCTCTGTCTTTTCTACAAATACTTTCATAGTAACTGCTCCAATGGGCTACTTTCACTAGTTCTCAAACTGCATGAATTTAAACGTGCTACAAAGTTGACATCTAAGTCTCACACTTTCACTGTCAGAACAGTTAAATGTAGCCATCTCTTCTACTCCAATAGTTTCATGTTTTGCACTTCCCATCTGTGGAACACCCTTCCTCTTACTTACTTCCCTGATAGTTATAATCTTCAACTATTCAAATTCAATGTCAATCAACATCTCCAGATGCCTTGGTCTATAACCTGTCCTCTTCATCCTTTCCTCCTCCATGCCTCTTTACTCTTGTTCCACTCTCTGTAACCTTTTGTGTGCTAGTGGCACTCCCACCTTGCTTGGGGTGAAAATCTTAAAAGAAAAAAAAAAAATTGAGAAGAGTGAGAGAAAAAGTCTGTTAGAATAAAATGTACATTTAGCAATTTCAACTGTAAAATGATAAGACCTAGCTACCAATCTAGTAATGTGCTTATGGTACTAAAGAGGTAAGCAATATTTGAGTAATACAAAAATGTGGCACAAGGCCAAAATGAGTTTAAGGGAAGGCTGTTTTTTTTCAATCACTCTTATCTTAAACTTAGCTATTCTCAGTATTCTTTGCATCAAAACAACACATACTTTCTTACCATTCTTACTGCAGTCACCATAATACCTCTAAGTCTCTATGTAGTCCTAATTACTGCCCATATGTACAATTTATCTGGAGGGGGAATAAAAATAACAATATTTAAAAATGAAACACCAATGAATATTTACAATGAAAACAATTTATATACAAGAAACTAACGAAAATAGTATTATGAAAAACCCAGAATCCTTAAATGTATCAGAAAAATCAGTTAACTGGACAAAATTAATGTGAGACTAGGTAATTAAAAACAATCATTCAGCCACTCACTCAAGCACACACTCATCCAGACACAAATACAAAATACACACTCAAAAAACAAAATTGCCCCATATCTACCAGAGAACTGACTTCTCTGTCACCTAACAGGAGAGGAAAGGGAGAATTAAACTAAAGAAAGCATTGACAGAAATAAGAGGCCAATGAGCATAAATCCCCTAGCTAAGTTTCAAAAAGGAAAGCTCATCAGAATAATTGCCATGAAAATATTTATAGAAAAAGCACAAAGAAACTACATTATAGTCGTAGGAAAGTGACTGAAGCTGAGATGCCAGACCAGGACTGAAAACATGGCAGATTCTTCATTGGATTTTATCAAGAATCTCTTGATAAAGATAGCTGAAGCACCAGACCATATGTGACAGTAATATTCAATGTATGAATGAATGGTAGACTTATAAAAGTGTAACGTAGATTCTGTCAAGAAAATTGTCTAGCATAACAGTGGACCAACTATCTTTCTAAAGATTATCATCTTAATAATTAAAAGAGAAAGCAATTTACTAAGATGAAAATGTTTAGAAAATGCTTTAATCACAAGAACATACACAGTAAATTTGTGTCCTGATTCTTATAACATTTCACCTCTTTTGGAAGATCTTCTATTATCACAATTTGGGATAATTAATAACAAAAGTGATGGAAACAAACAAAAAAGAGAGAGACTAAATTAAATCAGCTAGAGTATACACCCAAACACATTTATTTAAAAAAAAAATTTAATTAAAAATTCCCAGTGTCCCTTTTCTTTCCTGTGTATGTGTAGTCACATTGACATTAGCATCAGTTTAGTCTGATGAAATCCTAAATGACAAAATGCATCATACACAAACTTTTTCCACTTTGTCATAGTTTTTTTCCCTAAAATTGTTCTTGCTATAAAAAAAATTTATATATTGTTTTTTAAAACGTAAGCTTTATAATCAAAATTTTTCCAAATAGATTTTAAACAAATAAAGCGAATATCAGCTAAAATAATTTTTTTTTTTTCTGATATCAACTCTTTGTGCAATGATACACTTCTGGAGATAATGTTTTTAGTCATCTGATTTTTGATTCAAGTAAACAAGAAAGGACAAGAAAATGTTGAAATGACAATATTTTCTTTGACATATTTTTGTTTATATACACAAGTAAAAATAAGTAAATCTTAACCTCAATGAAAAGTCCATAGATATCAACAAATAGATGAAAACAACCTTAAATAATTTGAAAGTTGTTTATGGAAAGACAGTCACTTAAATTGCAGATATTTGTTTTTATATTTATGCTAACAACAGTGAAACCTAAATTCTATAGGCTTATAGCCATATCATATTGAAACATTGGTTCCCATATGATCAACAAAGTTAAGCAACATCGATTCTGGTCAGTACCTAGTTGGGTGACTGCTTGAGAATATCAGGTGCTGTAAGCTTGGATATGTGTGTGGTGTAATGGATAATAGCTAAGAATTGGAAACCGAAGAGCTGAGTTCAAATTCCAGTTGGATTCGTTATATTCCTTGGGAAACATGAATCCATCTCTTCTCCCCTAACTGGGGTAATTAACAGAACATGTATTAGTAAAAATCATTTTTCTGTCTTTAAATAACCTGCAAAAATGTTGATAAGCCATAAATCACAATCAATCAATTAAACCTAAATTAAGTATAGAACAGATTTTTCCTCATCCTTGTTTGGGAATTTTGATGTCACTAACAAAAAAAATTCATATATGTGTGTATGTATATATATATATATATATATATATATGATTGTTTCTTGAGATAAACTTTGATTACTGAATATTCCCAACCAACCTTCAAACATACTAAAAATGTTTTTTTTTCTTAAGTATTAAAGTTTTAAATAACCAAGTGAAAAATGTATAAAGAGATTGAATTTGAAACTTAAAGCAATTTATGTAACTTAATAATGAAGTTACATGCATTGAACCACAAATCATATGTATTCCTCTTGCATGTTCTAACCACAAAGCTTACACCAAGTGGCTACTTAAGATATTCTGACTTTCAAAACCATGAGAGGTTGTCTAATCTTTTCTGTTGTTTTTTTTCTTTATTGGCTTGTTGATTGGAATTGATGTATTTAATGGCTGCATTCAGTAATGTTAAATTCTTTATGCTCATCCATTCGGCTTAGAAAGTCAGTTGAATTTTTTCTTAATCTTACTTTGAAAAGAATATATTTACAGCTCTTTCTTGTTCTTTTTTTTAACTAAAAGAAAGGACAAAAAAGTCCATCAAGCATGGAACAATAGTTCCATTTAATCATAAAGTGTGGCCCATAAACTGACCGCTCAGCCAAGATTTTAAAATTTCACTTCAATGTATCTAACTCCCAACAAAAGTTTTGTTTTTAATTTTGTTTTCTTTTGATTTTGGTTAGTTATATGATTATTTTCTGTTTAATTTCATCTCTTTCTATTATATATTTAGTTTTTTACATATGTATTTGCACTTCATAAATTTACAGTCTGTTCCTGAACATACAGTTTATCTCAGATGTGTGTACATGCATATTATCCAAATTCATGTCACAGAGGCTATTTTATATATAACTTGTGTGTTCACACTTTTTTATATTTGTATGTTTAGTCATAAACTAATTAATGTGTGTTCTTACATTTACTGAAATAGGAGCCAATATTTTTTACATATATATTTCTTTAAATATGTACCTCCATGTGTGTGTCTGTATGTAATATATATATATATATATATATATATAAACAAACTACAGACATGTGCATATGTTTGAAAATATAGCATACAAGCATATCAAATAATTTTATAACATTTTTAAAAGGTTTCATCTTTATTCAGGGATTTATAAAGTGAGAATGTAAAATTAATATTTATCAGATATTCATTCCTTATGAAGATCTGGCTGAAGAATTTTGATTTGGGAACACTGCAAGAATTTTGATCAGAAGGAAATTGAGCATTCAAACAAAAAGTGCACCATTAGGAAGGGAGAAATAGAATCTGTTCTAGAGCTATTAGGGCACCAACACACTTGCAGTATTTGTGGAAAAGTCACCCTTTTGTTGGCTGGTTTAGTCAGTCATGTGAGATCACTCCAGATAGATTACTTGTGCAAGTTTTGTGACAGGGCTTGTAAGTCTCAAACATCACATTTCCTGGGTATGATGATAAACTACATATGGCAGCAAGACTTCTGATCAAGAGGTTTGAGAAGCGAGGAACCACCTCTTACTTGCTGTTATTCCCAAGTCCACCCTGACCCAGGGTGGTAGCACCTGTTAGGGTTCCAGCTATGGACAAATAGTTAACCACCAAACTGAGATCAAAACACTATGAAAGTATAAAAAAGGACTTTTACAGTAAAAGTTACAATCAATACATTTTGAAAAAAAAAAGAGCGGTAATACATTTGGCTCTAAACAAAAAGCCTTTTTACAAGGATACATCAATGAGACCTGATCTACAAACTGATTTCTTACAAAGAATACATATTCTATTCATATGAACCTATACTAAAAATTTTGTCATCCATTGAGGTTGATATGCTGTAAATCAAAACAAAATAAACCAATCAAACAACACATGATTGTACACAGCAACAGGCAAATTTCCAACATGGGTAACACAGACAAACAACACACACCAATATCTATATTTTCCTACCAAAGACATATTTAATTTGTACAGAAAGAACATTGTGCATCTGGCATATATATATATATATATATATATATATATATATATATATATATATATGATTTATTAAGCATACCTTTGATGTGGCACAAGGTCAAAAGTATGGGGGGCCGAGGGAAGATTAAACTCACTACTGAGTTGTAACGGATCCAGTGAGACAAACTTTCTAAATGTTATACCATGTCGAAGTGCCCAACAATGATTTTCTAAGTGTAGCATAGATGTGTCCAAATGCCAGAAGTGTAGAGCAGCCAGTGAGGATCGAATTCACTACTCAGACATAAATGACCTAGTGAGATAAGCTTGCTAACCATTCCACCATGTCAATGTACCTATATATATATATATATATATATATATATATATACACACACACACACTAATATGCAAATTAAATGATAATTTTCATATAAACCAAAAGTGTGAAGGACCAAGTGATGATTGAACTCACTATTCAGTTGTAATTGATCTAGCGAGACAAAATGCTAACCATTAGACCATGTTGAACTGTCAAAATAATTTTTAAGCATAGCTTAGATGTGGCACAAGGCTGAAAGTGTGAGGCAAAAGTGAGGATCTAGTGAGAGAAGCTTGCTAACCATTCCACTATGTTAAAGTGGTCCATCTGGCATGTGTGTGTGCTTGCATATACATACATATATATATATATATATATATATATATATATATATATATATATATATATATATATATATATATATATATGCAAATTATATATGTGTGTGTGAGTGAAAAGGAGAAAAAAATATAGGTTTCATATCTTTTTGATGAAATAAAATATAAGGCACAAAAATTTTCTGCTAATGTTTTAAATAGTCAAGAAAATAAAAACATAAATTTCTTTATAGATTAGAATCTTTTCCCAAGTGGAACACAAGAACGCTTAAATTGATTATAAAAATTCATCGGATGTTTATGAGAACATGCAGCCTGTCTATTATGATTGTTGAAAAACTGAAACACATTTATTGCTTATCCTGTCTTCAGGCTTGAATAATCAACGCGAGAAAAACAAGAAGTATTGCTACAAAGAAATTTAAAAAAAAAAGACAAAAAACAAACACTTTCTTGACTCACGCTCTCTCCGTTTCTTGATTTAAAAAAAACCAACATTATGAATATTCATGAACAACATTCTCCTATGATATTTGTATTGTTTTCTTACAAACACTGCAATCAGAAATAATATCAATTTATCATCATTATCATCAACAGCAGGACTATTAATTGTATATACGAGACATAGTTAATATTACTTCTTTTTTATTCCTTCCCTTTATTAATTTTATTTTTATTATTCTATTTTCATCATTATTTTTAATTATTTTTAAATAATTATTTTTATTAGTTGTAATAATAAGACTTCCAAAAGCAACATTTATTTCTTTCTTTTTGTGTGGGGATGGTATACGTTTTTTTACTATTTCTTTTTCTTATTATGGATCTCTGTTTTCATCCTTCCCTATTTTCTCCTCTTTCTTTCTGGCCTTTATCTGTATTTCTCTTTCTTTCAATTTCTCCCTTTTCTTCTTGTCATCCACATTATACTTATTTTCTTTATTCTTATTGTTTGAAAAGCATTTATTTTCCCCAACTTTAGAAACTTGACATTTTTTACACTCTCGCTACTAATAATTGAAGGAAATGACCAACTGTTGTAGGTGACTGCATGTAAAGGGAAAAAAAATATCCTAATGCAATATTTATCATTCTCTGCTAGGTTATGGGTAATTTCCTTTTCTTTATTCCCTTTTGAATGAATAATAAAATTGGGAAAATAAGAAAGAAAACAGCATAACAAATAGTGACAAATGATAAACGGGCGACCATTTTTATGTTCCAAGTCTTTTATTGCTGACTGATAGAAATTCAGAGCTCTTACATATTTGCAAACTTTATCTTTTAGATGTTGTAATCTAGTTAAAAAAAAAAAAGGGAGGGGGGATTTCTCTTCTTTTTTTTTATTTATGAAAGACATCAGATGCAAAGATGTATCACTTAATTTGCAAATGGTAACTCTGAATAAAATACTTGAATTAAATTCTATTTTAAGAGCTTTCACACACAATTACAATAAGTCACAATTTTTTATTGCCTGTTTGGATCTGAAAAACATGTTTAACTAACAGGTAACCTCCATTTGCCTGCTAGTAGTGTTGGTAGTTCATCATAAGTTAACATCAGTTCTTGTCTGATTACCAGTTATGCAACATTGAGCCTGGTTAGTACCAAGGTGGATGACCATTTGAGAATATCAGGTGCTGTAAACTTGGGTGTGCTGCTGGCTTAATGGATAACAGCTTGGAATGAGAAATGATAATGTCAAATTCCAATTCCAGTTGAGTTCATTATAGTCATTTACATGCAATTACCCTTGAGAAAGGTATGAATCAACCTCTTCTCCTGCCAGCTATAGGTTAAATAGTAGGAAATGCATAAAACATTATCTCCAAAAAAATTCTTAAAATCCCAAAATATGTTTCAGCTTTAAATAACTTTAAAAAGGTTGATAATCCATAAAAAACAAATCAATCCATCAGGGGTCTGTAATGTAATCAATTCTGATCATGCATATTGACTTCAGCCACTTTCTCACTGATGTGATATGGCTTCCCTCTGTCTGTCTTTTCTATAAATATTTTCATGGCAACTACTCTAATGAGCTTTTTTCTCTGGTGTCCCAACTACATTAATTTGGGCATCTACTAA